GTAGGCCTCAAAAAGTTAAGAAAATTGAAATCATATCAAGCATCTTTTCCAACTACCATGATATGAAATGAGAAATCAACTAAAAGAAAAAAGCTTGGAAAGTCACAAATATGTGACTCCACAAATATGTGGAGAATAAACAACATGCTACTGAACAATAATTGGATCAATGAAGAAATCAAAGGAGAAATTTAATGAATACCCGGAGACACATGAAAATGAAAAGACAACATACCAAAAATTATGAGATGCAGCAAAAGTGGTACTAGGAAGGAAGTCTATAGCAATTCAGGCTTACCTCAAGAATCAAGAAAAATCTTAAATAAACAAGCTTACACTATATCTAAAAGAATTAGAAAGGGAAGAACAAACTAAGCCCAAAGTCAGTAGACAGAAGGAAATAATAAAAATCAGAGCAGAAATAAAGAAAATGGAGACTAAAAAAAAAACAATAGAAAGGATCAATGAAACTAAGAATTGGTTCTTTGAGAAGATAAATAAAATTTACAAAACCTTAGCCCATCTCATTAAGAAAAAAGAGAGAAGACTCAAATAAATAAAATCAGAAATGAAAGAGAAGGGCCGGCCCCGTGGCTTAGCGGTTAAGTGCGCGTGCTCCACTGCTGGTGGCCTGGGTTCAGATTCCGGGCGCGCACCGACGCACCGCTTCTCCAGCCATGCTGAGGCCGCGTCCCACATACAGCAACTAGAAGGATGTGCAGCTATGACATACAACTATCTACTGGGGCTTTGGGGGGAAAAAATAAAATAAAAATAAAAATAAAAAAAAGAAATGAAAGAGGAGAAATTACAATGGACACCACAGAAATACCAAGGATTATAGGAAAATACTATGAAAAGCTATACACCAATGAATTAGAAAACATATTAGATAACATAGAAAAATGGATATATTCTTGGAATCATACAGCCTCCCAAAACTGAATCAAGAAGAAATAGAGAATCTGAATAGACCAATCACAAGTAAAGAGATTGAAACAGTAATCAAAAACCCTCACAAAAAATAAAAGTTCAAGACCAGAGAGTTTCTCTGGTGAATTCTACCAAACATTCGAAGAAACTTTAATATCTATCCTTCTAAAACTCTTCCAAAAAGTTGAAGAGGAGGGGACACTTCCTAACTCATTCTATGAGGCCAACATTGACCTGATACCAAAACCAGACAAGGACAACACATAAAAGGAAAATTACAGGCCAATATCATTGATGAACATATGCAAAAATTTCAACAAAACACTAGCAATTTGAGAACAATACATTAAAAGGATCATATGCCACTATCAAGTGAGATTTATTCCAGGGGTGCACAGCTGGTTCAAAATCTGCAAATCAATCAACCAACATTTGAGTATGACATGATGATTCTATATATAGAAAACCCTAAGGAATCCACCAAAAAACTATGAGAAACAATCAAAGAATACACTAAAGTTACAGGGTACAAAATCAACATAAAAAATCGGTTGCATTTATATAAATAATGAACTAGCAGAAAGAGAAATCAACAATACAATCCCATTTGCAATAATAACAAAAAGAATAAAATACTTAGGAAAAAATTTAACCAAGGATGTGAAAACCTATACACAGAAAACTATACGACATTATTGAAAGAAAAGGAAGAAAACGTAAAAAATGGAAGAAGACATAAAGAAGTGGAAAGATATTCCATGTTCATGTATTGGAAGAATAATCATAGTTAAAAAGTTCATATAACCCAAAGGAATCTACAGACTCAATGCAATCCCAATCAGAATACAAATGACATTCTTCCTGGAAATAGAACAAAGAATCCTAAAATTTATATGGAACAACAAAAGACCTTGAATAGCCAAAGCAATCCTGATAAGAAAGAACAAAGCCAGAGGCATCACAATCTGTGACTTCAAAATATACCAGAAAGCTATAGTAATCAAAATAGCATGGTACTGGCACAAAAACCGACACACAGATCAATGGAACAGAATTGAAAGCCCAGAAAAAAGCCACATATCTATGGACAGTTAATCTTTGACAAAGCAGAGAAGAACACACAATGGAGAACAGAAAATCTCTTCAATCAGTGGTGTTGGGATAACAGGACAGCCACATGTCAAAGAATGAAAGTAGACCATTATCTTGCACTATACACAAAAATTAACTCAAAATAGATTAAAGACTTGAATATAAGATCTGAAACCATAAAACTCCTAGAAGAAAATACAGGCAGTACACTGACATCAATCTTAGCAGCATCTCTTTTATTTATTTATTTATTTTTGTGAGGAAGATCAGCCCTGAGCTTACATCCATGCTAATCCTCCTCTTTTTGCTGAGGAAGACCGGCTCTGAGCTAACATCCATTGCCAATCCTCCTCCTTTTTTTTCCCCCCCGAAAACCCCCCAGTAGATAGTTGTACGTCATAGTAGTACAGCCTTCTAGTTGCCGTATGTGCGGAGAACGTGCACCCAACCGCCAAGCCACGGGGCCGGCCCAGCAGCATCTTTTTGAATACCATGTCTACTCAGTCAAGGGAAAACAAAAGAAAAAATAAACAAATAGGACTACATCAGACTAAAAAGCTTCTGCGTAGCAAGGAAGACCATCAACTAAATGAAAATACAACCCACCAACTGGAAGGAAATATTTGCAAATCATGTACCTGACAAGGAGTTAATTTCCAAAATATATAAAGAACTCACACAGTTACTGACCAAACATGGGTCCCTTTTTGGAGTTAAATCAAACTGCACCAGAAGTGGTTGTTTCACAAAATAGAATTTTTATTTTTGGCGTGCAGCAGAGAATAATGGAGACCATAGGGAATAATATCACAAGCTATGGCCCCCCAAGCATGGGGAAATGGGTACCTTTATTTGGGGTAGGAAATGCATATTCAAAGGGAAGTTTCATCATCTGATGTAGAGATGGGCATAAGCTTGCACATGTGTGGCTTGAAATCATGCTTCTACATACATTGCAGGACCTAAAAATGGCTGCTTCGCCCCTCCCAGAGGAGGGAAATTTACAATGTTAGTGAGGGCAGGTTACATTAGCACAAGTCTCTGCCTATCTGTGCAGGTGTCAGTCTTGTGGCTGCCATTTGGGTCATTCTAGTCCAGTTCATAGGAGCTGGGTCCAGGGTGGTTGTTGCTTAGAGCTTCTTCCTGGAACATAGCTGAGAACCACATAAGCTCGTGGTTCCAAGGTGTTAGATAAAGGAACACCTGCACCTTTAAAGAAGACAAGAGATTTAGGTCAAACACAAAGGTCAGAGTTTAGGCAGGACAGGAGAAGCAGGTTAGGGTCCATGTCTGGTGACAAAATAACAACAAAAAAACAAACAACCTGATCAAAAAATGGGCAGAGGATATGAACAGACATTTTTTTCAAAGAAGATATACAGATGTCCAACAAGCACATGAAAAGATGTTCAACATCACTGATTGTTAGGGAAATGCAAATCAAAACTACAATGAGAAATCACCTCACACCCGTCAGAATGGCTATAATTAACAAGACAAGAAATAACTGTTGGAGAGGATGTGGAGAAACGGAACCCTCATGCACTGCTGATGGGAATGCAAACTGGTGCAGCCACTATGGAAAACACAATGGAGATTTATGAAAAATTTAAAAATATGGGGCCGGCCTGGTGGCGCAAGCGGTTAAGTGCCCACGCTCCGCTGTGGCCGCACGGGGCTCACCAGTTGGGATCCCCGACACGCACCGATGCACTGCTTGTCAAGCCATGCTGTGGCGGTGTCCCATAGAAAGTGGAGGAAGATGGGCATGGATGTCAGCCCAGGGCCAGTCTTCCTCAGCAAAAAGAGGAGGATTGACAGATGTTAGCTCAGGGCTGATCTTCCTCACAAAAAAAAAAATTAAAAATAGAAATACCATGTGATCCAGCTATCCCACTACTGGGTATTTATCCAAAGAACATGAAATCAATGATTCAAAAAGATTTTTGCACCCCCACATTCATTGCAGCATTATTCACAATAGCCAAGATGTGGAAGCAACCTAAGTGCCCGTCAACAGAGGAATGGATGAAGATGTGGTATATATATATATATATATATATATATACACAATCGAATACTACCCAGCCATAAAAAAGACAAATCATTGCCATTTGCAACAACATGGAGAGAGGCTGAGGGTATTATGCTAAGCAAAATAAATCAGTCAGAGAAAGACAAATACCATATGAGTTCACTCACATGTGGAAATAAATAAATAAACACATAGATAAGGAGAACAGATTAGTGGTTAACAGAGGGGAAGGGGGTGAGGGGAGGGTGAAATGGGTAAAGGGGCACATAGGTATGGTCATGGATAAACACTACGGTATTGGTGATGAAGACAATGCAGTCTACACAGAAACTGAAATATAATAACGTACACCTGAAATGAACACAATGTTATAAGACAATATGACCTCAAGAAAATAATTTTTTTAAAAACATCCAGACTACACTTTAAATATATATGATTCCTATTTGTCAATTATACCCCAATAAAGCTGGGGGTAAAAAACAAAGTTTCTAGTTTACCATCTCTTTTTTTTTACAGGAGAATTTGCAACTGTTATTAGCCCTAAAAATCACTATTGGGAAAGACATTGGATATTCCTTCTGCAAAGAGTTTGAAAACGTTAATATTTATATTAGGTTGGGAAGGGAATATTGTTTATTATAAATCGAATAGTAACTATGACTTACAAAATTCAGCAAGAGATGCTAAAATCTTTACAAGATTGTAGAGTTTAGGGAAACTAAATGTGATACTTTAGACATCAGGAGTGTTCAGTGACGTGGCTCAATTCAGACCCTCAGCACCCGTCATCTTTAGGATGAGAAGGAGCCGGTCATCTTCCTGTGTGACAGGCACCTTGTAGACTGTACCAACTGTGATGTGGGGACCCTGCCCACCACATCCTGTGAATCTGTCGGCTTTGCTCGGCTCCTGCCTCTTGTCTGACAGAAGAAGTGCCATGTCCCCCACATTCCTCAGCTTCCTGGGTGTTGGTGAGTCCTATAAGGGAAGGGAGGAGAGGGTCATGGCAGAAATCTGGGCTTCTTCATGGCATAGACCAGGACCACAGACCAGCTTCTGTGGCTGGGAGCACATGGAAGCCTGGGATCCATAGGGGATGAATCATCACTAATGTGGTTTCCTTCCAGGATTCTGTCTGAGCCAGAGGATCTGGAGACACATGAGTGAGTCCTTCCCATTCCATCATTACTGTGTGGACCAAACACGGAGTGCTCTGCCCAGGGCAGGGGAGCAGTGGAGTTGGGGCTGATAAGGATGACACTGGGGGAGCTGTGGTGAGACTTCTGGAAATACAAGGAGAGCAGCATTCCCTGTGGATCCTAGGTTCTTATTTTGTCCTGGAGACTTTTCCTAGACACTCCTCCCAGGCTCAGTCCAACTCTCTATCTCATGAAGGAGGCTGTGAAGTTCTGAAGCTGTGACCTGGGGCAGATGAGTGTCCTCTCTATAATGAGAGGGAAAGGAAATGCTGGACCCTGCAGAGCCTTCCTAAGACCAGGTTGCTCATGCTTTCTCCTACCTGCCCTTGACAATAGAATTTGCCGGGCCTCCCACTAGTCCTGCTTCGGGGGAAGGGACTGGTCCACAGGCAGGGCCACCTGGACCTCAGGGCACACTCTGTTGTAGGAGAGCTTAACAAAAGATCAAGGTTCGTAGTTCACATCAACTTTCATCATGTAGAACTTGCTCCCCTCTGCCATAAATAATTTTGTTGTTATAGAAAATTGTGTTTTAAGAAAACCTTATTCAACATTTTATCGACACTCTAAATATAATTCTTGATCTGGGAAGACCTGTCATGCCCATGCGGGGTGGGCTGTGTCCCTGGTCCCCCACTGGGTCTCCCTGGGCATCAGGGACTCCAGTTTGGGGGAGAGACCTTGAGAGAATGTAAAGGAAGAAAAGCCCCCTGAGGGCAGTGAGGGGAGGGGGCAGCTCCCCATTTTCCTCTCTAAGGCTGTGCCTCCTTCTCTCCCAGGTGGACACAACAAGCCCTCCCTGTCAGCCTGGTAGAGCACTGTGGTTCCCCTAGGAAGGAATGTGACTCTTCAGTGTCATTCTCATCTTCTATTTGTCATGTTCAAAATATTCAAAATAGATGTGACCTGTGTCATTGAGCTCCAGAGAAGTCTTTTCAAGAACAACTTCACCATAAGCCCTGTGACCACAGCACATGCTGGGTCCTATAGATTTTCTGTATCTTACAGCCACAGCCCTATGTGGTCATCACACAGTGACCGCCTGAGGATCATAGTCACACGTAGGAGAAGTCCAGCCCAGCCCACCGTGCAGACAGCCCTACTCAGAGTCCAGATCCCAGTGGAGCCCAAGAGTTATCATAAGATCCCTAGTCAGGACATCATCATGGAAGGAGAATCTGCTCTGAGAACGCAATGACAGGGTGTTTACTATAGGGAATGGGGTGCCCAGGTGAAGGAGGAAGAGCCGATAAGCAGGAGAGCCAACCTAGGGATTAGGGAGCAGGATGCTGCTACCACCTGCCAGCAGGGAGGACCCAGGGAGGAGCAATGTAACCTGATCCCAGCATCAGCATCCCACTAGGGAGTTACAGCCTTGTCTTGAAGGAGCAGGAGCCTCGGGTAAGACACAGTCCCCTCCGTAGAGGTCTCCAGAGGTGTGGGGTGGGCATGGATTAGAAAATATCCCCTTCAATCTCCTCCTCTTTCCCCAATCTGCAAACAGTCATCCCCGTTGTTGTAGGAGTGCTGCAGACTCTGAAAGTGGTGTGGAAATGCATCCTGTAGGGTCACCACCACCCACCACCACATAGATTGGAGAGGATATAGACTTAGAGTGGATCTAAGAGTGGTTACAGAGCAGACAACCAACACAGAGGAGGTTGAGGGCCAATGGCCAAGAGACACAGAAAAGCATATGGAGATAAGGCAGTGAGATTCAGGCGATAAAATCATGAGCCAGAGGATGGAGAATAAGGCTCAGAGACAATGCAGTAAGAAAGGCATGTGAGGGAACTGAGACAGCTTTGGGCTTGAGGGAGGTGAAAATCACTCTGAAACTATCAGGAGAAGGGTGAGGAGGGTGCACGTGGAAACTCACACTCTTTCTTCCCAGGTGTGTTCACAAAGCCCTTCATCTCAGCCCACCCAGGCTCCATTGTGCATGCAGAAGGGGCTGTGACCCTGAGCTGTCACTCAGAACTGGTGTTTGACACATTTATCCTTCTCAAGGAGGGGGACACACGGCATTCTCAGCAATTTGTAGAGAAGCTTCCTGGTGGGCACACCCAAGCTCACTTCTCCATGGGCCCTATGACTTCTGCCCATGCGGGACCTACAGATGCTACAGCTCTCTCAGTCACTCCCCCATGAGTGGTCGGCCCCTGGTGACCCCCTGGACATCGTGATCATAGGTGAGTGTGGCTGGCACAGCCTCTGTTATCTTTGTGCCCTGGACCCTCAGAGGGTGATGTAGTGTTGAGTGCAATGTTAGCACAGGAAGAGAAAGACAGGCATACAGAGGTACAGACAAACACAGGAGAGAGCGGTGAGAGGAGGGATAAGAAGAAACATGAATCTGTTATAATCCAAAGAGAAAACAGATTAGACTGTGACAGAGCATGAGACAAAAGATGAGAAAGATGGACTGAGAAAGACTCCTGAGCACAGGTATGAGGTGTGTCCCCAGCTCAGGCACCGAGTGACAGTGGGAGTTGGTTCCCCCTTTAACTCCACAGCCCCTTCCTCTGCTGTGAAGACGCAGGGACTCACCAGCCAGGCCCTGAACGATCTGCATACGGACTCAGACCCTGAGGTGTTGATCACAACCTGGTTTAACATGTCCTCCTGCACAAGAGGGAGGAGTGGTCACTTCCAACCTTCCCCACCTAGTGGTCACTCCGCACACCTTGGGGTGCTGGGCCATGCTGGCCACTCCCTGCGTAATGAGGTTCTCAAAGATCCTATGGAGATTTTGGCACTTTTCATCCATAATCTCTTTGTTCTGTGTCAGGGAGCCTAAGGCCAACACCATGTTTTCTGAGTGTCCCCAAAGTGGCTAGTTGGTTGCATTATTCGAAAGAACCCCTCATCTCTTATGGCTTCTTGGAGCAGTAAGACATGGAGATACAGTCAGAAAGCCACAGAGATTCAGGGAAAAGCAGGGTCATGAAAGGCACAGACACACAATCACCCAGCACTGCAGAGATAAATCTGAGACCTAGAGGTACTAGAAGACACACAGAGTGGGCACCCCAGAACGGGAACAGAGAACACTTTGTCATGACCAAGGACAGTGTGATAAGACTTGTGGTCTCAGATCAAGAACTCTTTTTCTCCTATGAATACACAAGAAACCTTCTCTCTCAGGCCAGGTTGTCCCCATGGTGATGTCAGGAGAGAACCTGAACTTGTTCTGTGAGTCTGAGAGCTTGTTTGATAAGGACCATCTATCCAGGGAGGGGGAGGCCCATGAACGCCAGCTCACTGGAGGGCAGAGCCACAAGGGTGCAGTCCAGGCCTTCTTCCCTCTGGGTCCTGTGACCCCAGCCCACAACGGGACCTATAAGTGCTACGGCTCTTTCAATCACTCTCCTTGTGAGTGGTCAGACCCAAGTGACCCACTGCACCTTTCCTTCACAGGTGAGGAACCTCATCCTGTCCCATGTCTTACAATACACTAAACCAGGGAGCTATAGCTGAAGGGCGCCTTGTAGGTGATAGGGTAATCTTAGAGATTCTGGAGAAATGGAAGCAAGGAGACATACAGAGAGGAAAAGAGAGGATGGTAGTCAGGGCACTTCCAAATCCTCTTCCATCTCCTGTGTGGATGCCCACATTGGGGTCCTATGTATCCAGGAGAATGAACAAAGGGGTCAGGGAAGACCTAGGAGGAGGAGAGGCTGACTGAAGTTTGGAGAGATCAGAGGTTGCATCAGGTCCTCACCCTTATTTGTTTCCCAGAAGCCCCTCTGACACACACATAACTTCCCAGTTGAGGAACATAGATATTTATCACCTGAAGGGATGTAACGTCTCCTGATCATAGCTGTCTTTCATCACCAGATATATTCTAATGCCTCTTTCCACTATCACATCTCAGGGAGGAAGAATCTTCTCATGGCAATCAGGTGGAGGGACCAGAAGGTCCCCATCAGTCCTTAGGGGGATGGCAGAGTGAGGGGTGGACAGAGGACCAACCTTCCAGAAAGAATGGTCCTATATCATTGGGCGAGGAAGGACACTGGTTCATCACTCACTGTCCTTTATCTTAGGATTTCCTACAATTACTTGCCTGTCACCCAAATCACCAAGCACCACAAAAGGTGAGCAAGGGGGTCTCTTAATTTAATCTATGAATCCCTGGGAACCAGACGGTTCCTGTGTGAGTGTTGCCTCTGCCACCTCCCAGCTCTGTAACATTGGGTTAGTCAGATTCCCCATCTGATCCCCAAATTCTCCATCAGCATTTGAGACTGTGGTCAGTATGGTAATCAGAAGGGGCATTTAGGGTCTCATGTTCTGGGACTGAGGTCTTTTCTAATAGGGATAAAGAGGTCACAGGGACCCTGACCCCATGCCCAGGAGAGATGTTTATCCTCCCTCCATCAGGGTCTGCGAGGATGGGGATGATGGGGAATGGAGGGATTTATGGAGATACTTTAAATGTATACTTTCCGTCTGTTAATATTCAATTAGCTGAATATCCAACAGTTATCAAGGAAAAAGATCCAGTCTCATGAGGATCATATTCCAGACATGTGTGAAGGGAGGAGAAAAATTATGATGAATAAATGAATGAAAATTCATTAAGATTCATTAATTCATACACCTTGAGATAGAGTCATATGATAGAGAAAGCTTAAGTGGATAACTTAGAGTGAGTGATAGGCAAGACCCTACTGACAGTGATATTTCAGGTCTAATGACAAGGAAAGCCAGTCCTGAGAAGATTAGTCTAAGGATATTCTCAACAGATGGAACCATGAGTGCCATGAATCCAACTTGGCAATGAGCTTGATGGGTTCAAACTACCAGTGAGCCTGACATGTGCTGGGTGAGGTGGAGTTGAGAGAGGCAGACAGGAGCCAAATTAGGTAAAGGTGGATAAGCAATGATGAGGAGCTTGGATTTTATTCAGTCTGAAATGGGAAGCCATTAAAATATATATATATATATATATATATATATCAGAAAAGTGGCATTATGTGCATGATATTTTAGAGGGAACAAATTGGTAGGTGTGAACAGAATTTATTTAAAGGGAAAGAGTGTGGGCCAGCCCCGTGGCTTAGCGGTTAAGTGCGCGCGCTCCGCTGCTGGCGGCCCGGGTTCAGATCCCGGGCGCGCACCGACGCACCGCTTCTCCGGCCATGCTGAGGCCGCGTCACACATACAGCAACTAGAAGGATGTGCAGCTATGACATACAACTATCTACTGGGGCTTTGGGGGAAAAAATAAATAAATAAAAATTTTTAAAAAAATAAAATAAAGGGAAAGAGTGGAAGCCATGAGCCTGGTGGGAGGCTATGACAGTCCTTGTGGAGAAAATTCATGATGACTTAGCCATGAAGGTGCTGGGAAAGAAGTCTAGTGGGTGGTTTCATGACATACTCAGATGTAGACTCATCAGGAAAGAGATTTCTGAAAAGTTCTAGTGTTTCTCAGCTGAGGCACCTTGGGCATCCTCATTATCTAAGCTGTAAAATTTCTTGGCATAAACTTGTTCATAGTATTTCTTTATTATTTTTTTAATATCTGTAGGATTGGTAGTGATGCCTCTCTTATTCTTGATATTGGTAATTTATGTTCTCTATTTCTTCCTCTCTTGCTCTTCTTCCTTACATCCTACAAGCTTTGATATGTTGTAGTTTCATTGACCTTTTCTCATTAATATTTGCTAAATTCAATTTTGTGTGATTCTATAACCATAACTATTTGGGATTTTACTTGTTTCCAAAGTATTGGGGTTTTTTTTAATGTTTTCTTATTGTTGATGCTCATTTAATTGCACTCTAATCAGGAAACATGATATGTATGATAACAGTTTGGAGAAACATAGATACTTTGTTGTCTAGTAAGAAATCAATACATTCTGTTCAACATGTGATTTAAATAATGAGCATTCTCACTTTGTTGTAATATGTATGTCACAAAAATATTTCTATAAAATTATGCATACTAAATACACAATAAAAAACTTCATCATGCGTGCACATCAGATTGAACATTTGTGATTCAACTCTCATGTAAATTTTTTCCTGCTTAATCTATCAGATAGTATATATTTTTCTAATAAGTCTTTGTTCAAATCCTCCATTATGTATCAATTTATGTTTTGTATGTTTCAAGGATACATGATTGGTTGAGCGAAAGTTCATAATTGCATCGCTTCTTAGTAGAAAGTTGATTTAAAAACATAAAACACCAGGGCCCCTGGGTGTAGTGGTTAAATTTGCACGCTCCACTTCAGCAGGCCAGGGTTTGCAGGTTCAGATGCCCGGCACAGACCTACACACCACTTATCAAGCCATGCCTTGGCAGGCGTCCCACTTATAAAGCAGAGGAAGATGGGCACGCATGTCAGCCTAGAGCCAATCTTCCTCACCAAAAAGAAGGGTATTGACAATGGATGTTAGCTCAGGGCTAATCTTCCTCTCGAAAATATATATATATGTTGGTATTTACATGTATATAAAATACCAATTCTTGATGTCTTAAAAATATTTTTCTGTTTGTGTTAGTTTTCTATTGCTTCCATAACAAATTACCACAAATTTAGCAGCTTAAACCAAATTTATCATCTCAGAGCTCTGTAGGTCAGAATTGTGGATGGGTCTCACCTGCTAACACGGCTGAATTCCTTTCTGGAGGCTCTAGAGAGGAGAATCCACTTCCTTTTTCATTCAGATGATTGACAGAATTATATGCACTTGCAAATGTGCATAGATATATATATACATATCAAATGCTATTTCTACTTACTGTCAATTTCTTTTGTTCTCGGTACCATCTCATTTTCTCCATTTTGGATCCATTATTCTTCTTTCTGATTTGCATCGTTCAGTATTCCTATCAGAAAGGGTGTAGACATAAAAATATCTACATCCTTATATCTCAACAATGCCCAATTCGCATTAATATTCTCTCTATCACAGGAGAAGGTTTACTTTGTTAGAGTGAAAAACATCTGATATTTAAGAGATCTGTCCACCAATGCCCTCCTTATCACTCATAAAGATGCAGCCTGATGTGGTGCTTCATGGGTGAGACACGAGTCTCAATATGTCAGATATTCCTTGAGTCTCTATGTGTTTAAGGGTTTCTCCACTGCTGATGGTTCATCTTGCCCATTAATAATAACTAGGTTCAGTATAGAACTCTGTACTCACAATTAATACCTTGAAGGAATTTCTCCAGTATTTTCCATCACCTGTTTTTGCTCTTGAGAAGTCCAGTCCCAATGAGCTCGTCATTCATTTGAGGGTCACTTGCATTTCTCTAGTAGTTTTAGAATTATTCAAAAATTTATTACCAATATTCTTTACCAGGGGCAAGATATGATTTTCATTTATTAATTTATGCATTTTAAATCCATGTTCTTTCTTCATTTCTGTAAAATTTTCAACCACTCTCTCTTCAAGTTTGCCTAACACCATTCTCACTTCTTTCATCCTGAAACTGTGATAGATGTCTGTTCACTCTTCTCATTCTATTTCCCGTGTATATTCACTACCTTTCCTATTTTTCGATTTCTGATCTCACTGTGATGAATTCTAGAAACTTTACTCAATATCTTATTCCAGTGAAGTCAGCAGGATGGCAGAATAGGAAGTCCCAGCCCTTGTCCCCACAGAAACACTGACAAAACACCAATGCTTGGGCCAAAATACCTTTATGAGAAGTCCAGCATCCAGTTAATGAGTTTCCAAACCTCAGCCAAGCATAAAAACAAAAAAAAAAAACAAAAAAGCACTTTAGAAATAGGTAAAAAGCGTGGTTTCACTTTTCCCAGGTCACCCATCCCCCAAGCCGCTGAGAGATCAGCTCCACTGGGAGAAAAGAGAGGGTGAAGCTGCATCTGAGGGCGCTGCCCCAGAGACCTCCTGGTGTCCCACCTCACTCAGAGTGCTAGGCTGCAGGCACACCAGGAGCAGCCAAGAACAGAGGAAAGGGGCTCTCAGTGCAGGAACAGGCCTGAGACTGTTCCCCCAGGAGGGAGGGAGAGGAGTGGAGCTTGCACATCCATAGACAATGTGTGAGAGGCTCCCAGAAGCCAGAACTGTGCTGATTGGTGGTCTCCCCCTGACAGAACCAGACCATAAAGACTGAAGAGGTTGCTACTTCTTCCACTGTGCAGACACCAAAGCAAAGCTACAAGAAACACGAAGAATAAGGGAAATATGATAAGATCAGAGGAAAAAAATAAATCTCCTTTAACCAACCATAAAGAAAAGGAGATCTATGAGTTGCCTCAAAAATTATTCAAAATAATTACCTTAATTATTTTAGGTGAACTAATTTTCCACAGGGTACCAAGAACACACAATTGGGAAAGGATAGTCTCTTCAATAAATGGTGTTGGGAAAACTAGATAGCCACATGCAGAAGAATGAACTTGGACCCTCAACACACACCATAGACAAAAATGAACTCAAAATGGATTAAAGATTTATTGACTTAAAAAGCAAATTCACCTATTATTTTGTCCTCAAAATAAGTTTATTCAGGAATAGCCAAAAGAATTACAATTTGAGATGTGCGTGCTATGGCAAACCACAGGCAAATGGAGAAAACAAAGGAAGGGAGCTGCTTTTATAGAGAAAAAGGAGGAGAAGCGAGGGGTTGTTCTAAATGATGCCCATTAGGGGAAAGTGACAGTTCAAGATGGCAATGAAGTGTCACTGGCTGAACTGAAGACCTTCTCAGAGGCCACGAGAGAAATCTTCCTTCCGTGGTAAAGTAGTTCTACTTCCTGTGGAAGATGCAAGCTTCTGTCTCTTCCTGTTTGGTGTAACTGAGGACGAGTGATAGGACTGAGAGCTCCCCCCACAGGCCTCCTGACATCAACTTAGTTAAGGTTTCCTTTATTAATTTCCACAAACTTAAATGTAAGATCTGAAGCAACAAAACTTCTAGAAGAAAACAAAGGTTGAAAAGATTCTTATATCAATTTTGGCAATGATATTTTTTTGGATGTGACATCAAAAGCACAGGCAACAGAAAAAAAATAGACAAGTAGGATTGCATCAAACTAAAAAGTTTCTGCACAGCAAAGGAAATAATCAACTGAGTGAAAAGGCAACTTACAGAATGGGAGAAAATACTACAAACCATACGTCTAATAAGGGATTAATTTTCAAAATATGTAAGGAACTCATAGAACTCAATACAAATGTAGTAATAATAACCCAATTAGAAAAAGGGGAAAGAGGAGGCTGGCCTGGTAGCATAGTAGCTAACTTTCATGCTCTGCTGTGGAGGCCTGGGGTTCACGGTTTTGGATCCCGGGTGCGGACCTACACACCACTCATCAAGCTATACTGTGGCGGCGTCCTACATATAAAATAGAGGAAGATTGGCATAGATGTTAATCTTCCTCACCAAAAAAAAAAAAAAAAGGGCAAAGAATTGTAATAGGTTATTTCTCAAGAGAAGACATCCAATTGGCCAATCAGTATATGAAAAGGTGCTCAACCTCATTAGGCATCAGAGAAAAGCAAAGCAAAAGGGTAATGAGATATCACCTCATACCTGTTAGAATGGCTATTATCAGGAAGACAAGCGATAACAAGTCTTGGCAAAGATGTGAAGAAAAGATGTGGAGAAAAGAAAACCCTTTTCTGTAAACCAGTACAGCCATTTTGGAAAACAGCATGGAGGTTCCTCAAAAAATTAAAAATAGAACTACAATATGATCCAGTAATCCTACTTCCGGGTATATTCCCTAATTAATGAAATTAGGATCTCAGAGAGATATCTGCATTCCTGTGTTCATTGGAGCATTATTCACAACAGCCAAGATATGGAAACAACCTAAATGTCCATCAACGGATGGATAAAGAAGATGTGTATATACATGCAATGGAATATTATTCACCCTTTAAAAAGAAGGAAGTTCTGCCATTTGTGACAACATGGATGAACCTGGAGGACATTATGCTAAGTGAAATAAGCAAGATGAAGACAAATACTACATAATTTCACTTACATGTAGAGTCCAAAATAGTCATAATCTTCGAAACAGAGTTTAATGGTAGTTTCAAGGGGCTCGGGAAAGGAGGAGATGGGGAGATGTTGGTCATGGGGTACAAAGTTCAGTTATGCAGCTGAATGATTTCTGGAGATCTAAGGTACAGCCATGTGGCTACAGTTAACAATACTCTATTGTGTACTTGAAATTTGCTTGGGGGTAGATCTTAAGTGTTCTCACCACACACACACAAAAAATGGTAACTATGTGGGTGATGGATGTGTTATTTACCTTGATTATGCTGACTATTTCACAATATATACAACATTGTGATACAATGTATCAAGTTGTACAACTTAAATATATACAATTTTTATTTGTCAATTATATCATAATAAAGCTGAAAAAAAATGTGTTTCATAATTAAACCAAGAATTTTGGAAGTTATTCAATTTCTAATTTTAAGTAGTTACTCTCATTTTTAATATATGTATTTGTATTTTTATTTCTAAGCAAGTATTCATTATCCTCTTCCCTTAGAGAAGACAAGGTTCTATTTACACTTTACTTGAACTCTGAGTTCTCATATATGTAAATATGTGTGTGCATGTGCACATCTGTGTGTCTATGAGCACGTGTGTGTGTGCGTGTGTGGATGTGATTTTTTGTGTGTGCAAGTGCGTTTGCGTAATTTTCCAGTGTTTTTTTTTTTTGTCATTTTTTTCCTCACTGTTGCATCTCACTTTCTCTACTTTGGGTTCATTGTTCTCCTAACTGAATTTCATCACTTAGTATTCCTTTCACTGGGTGTGAAAATAGTAAAATATCTAAGAACTTGCAGCTCTGGAAATGCCTTCTTGCACTCTCGTTCTCTTTATCAAGTTACTTGGGAACATTTTGTTATTTCAGATAAAGTGTAGGATTCAACTGACAGGAGAGGAAAATCCATGTGATGGTCAAGGATCCACCCCCAAAGCTCTTCTTATCTCTTATGAAGACGCAGCCCCATGTGGCGGGTCTAACCTGTGAGATTCAGGTCAAAGTCTCCTCTTGTTTGGGGGTTTGCCCCTCTGATCCTTTCTCCTTTGTCCCTTAAAAGTAATTTGGCTCAGAATAAAATTCTTCACAAACAGTTAATTCCTGGAAGGTATTTCTCCAATCTCTTCTGATATCTCATCTTGCATTGGGGATGTCTGGTCCCAGAGCTTGTCATTCTATTGAGGGTAATTTGCATTTTCTCTGGGAAGTAATTTTAGGACTTTTCATGTGGTCCCAGGCCAGTCCTCCTCAAAATTTTTTGAGTTGAAATTCACATGAAATAAAATCAACCATTTTAAAGTGTACAATTCAGTGTAACATATATATATTTTGTGTGTGTGTGTGTGAGGAAGATCAGCCCTGAGCTAACATCCATGCCAATCCTCCTCTTTTTGCTGAGGAAGACCTGCCCTGAGCTAACATCTATTGCCAATCCTCCTCCGTTTTTTTCCCCCTTTTCTCCCCAAAGCCCCAGTAGATAGTTGTCCATCATAGTTGCACATCCCTCTAGTTGCTGTGTGTGGGACGCTGCCTCAGCTTGGCTGGACAAGTGGTGCGTTGACACGCGCTCAGGATCCAAACCCGGGCCGCCAGTAGCAGAGCACGCGCACTTAACCGCTAAGCCACAGGGCCAACCCCAAGACATATATTTTTAATTTACCCTTCATTTTCTTCATTCACCATGAAGGTCGACACAGATGTCATTTTAAATATATGCCTCCTAGGAGCCCGCCAGGTGGTGCAAGTGGTTAAGTGCGCACAGTCCGATTCTGCTGCCCAGGGTTCACAGGTTCGGATCCCAGGTGCGCACTGACGCACCACTTGTCAGGCCACGCTGTGGAGGCGTCCCATATAAAGTGGAGGAAGATGGCCACGGATGTTAGCCCAGGGCCAGTCTTCCTTAGCAAAAAAGAGGAGGATTAGCAGATGTTAGCTCAGGGCTAATCTTCCTCACAAAAAAATATATAAATAAATAAATGCCTCCTAATACTTAGTCTTTCCTCATCTCTGTAAAAGTTAATTCTTTGTCTCTTGAGCTGTCGCTGGACATCATTCTCCCTTCTTTCCTCTGACACTTACAATAGATGTGACGTTGGTTCTTCTCATTCTATTCCCTGAGTATCTTAAATTTCCATTTCTGGTCTCTCTGTGCTGCATTCTGGAAAATTCCCTCATTATTCTGTTCCAGTTTCATAATTGGCCTTCAGCTGTCTAGTCCTTGAGGGATGAATTTTTTTAATGTGTTAATTCTATTGGATTTTTCATCTCTAAAATTTCCAGCTCACTTCAATAGTTGCCTATTCTGTAAAAACAATCTATATTCTTGCATCAAAAATTCCATTTCTCCCGTTATGTTTCAGATATTTAAACATGCTTATTTTAAAATTACTCTATTTTCCTATTGACTATTCCTTGCATATGATAACCCCATTCATCAGTAGCTGTTGTCCACAGCATGTTCATCATGATTAGGATGACTCTTGACTGTCCATTCCTGTTGGAAGGCTCTGCTGCCACACACCTGATCTTCCAGAGAGGGTTTCCCAGGGCTGTCCTGGGACTCAGGCTGACAAGGCAGAACTATTGTAGCTGCTCCTGGCTCATGGCATCCACTCTCTCAAATTTACCATCTGCTCAGGGTTGTATCCAGCAGGGATGGTCCAATGGGAACCTCACATTCACGTGTGGGGCCAACGCCCATGGCTGACAATACTGGATTCAATCTGTTTCAGGACACACATGGGAGGTTGCTCGGTCCTGACCATGGGCTCAGGGCAGTGGGCAGACATCCCAGAGCTCACCCAGAAACATGGAGGAGGAGGAATCACAGCTTGCAACCTTCACCTGGAGCTCTGACCACTCCCTTCTTGTGAGAACCTGGGGGTCCTCCCTGTGTTCTCCTCCATAGGACCCCTTGATGGTCCTGGGCACTGATGGCCACTCAGCTTTGTTCCCTATTCTTTGATGTAGTTCCCTCTCCATTGTGAGAACTTTCATTCCTCTTTTTCACATTTACCTTGGCTACATATTTTAGAAATGTTGTAAGTAGTATTTCTCAGTGTTAGGAGCAGACAAGAGCTCTTGTATGGGCAGATTAATTCTCCACTTGACTGTGGAGTCCAACCCCATGGTCCTCTCATGTCCCAAGCCACTCATGTGTTAACGTGGCCTGGAAATTGATTGATCCCTCCCATGGACCCAGCACCACTGACCCCACAACCACTCTGAGGAGTGGGGTTCCTGACAACATGCTGCAGATGAAGAAACTGAGGCTCAGAGATGGAGTGTTCATGCTCAAGCTCACATGGGCAGTGGATGACCAATGAATATTTAAATAAGATTCAGCATTGTCCCCCAATTAAGAGCACTAAGCCAGTCACTGACCCCAGACACTGAAGACAGAACCACAAGATAAGGAGGGGAGCTCTGCCCAAGGGAACAAGGGGTCTGAGGAGGCAGGAATGACTCAGAGGTTTGTTCCCAGAGAGATGGGAGTGGACGCTGTTGCAAGAAAAAAGAAGTCCGTGAAGGGGACTATCACAGCTGTGAAGGCTGTGATAGAAAGAAAACCCACACTCCGGGGCCAGGAGAGGAGTGATGTCTCCTTCCCTTATTTCCCTGTATTTCTCCTTTGTGATCCTTGTCACAGTGACCTCGACCTGAACTTTACAGTCAGATGTTGAGTGTGTGTCTCTGCTGATCTGAGCTCTGCGGGGCAGCAGGATCCTGCATCTTCCCTGAAGCATCTCCAGGACCTGGATGACCACAGTCCATGGTGAGGACCCCACAGGGATGTGCTGATGGACAGGCTGAGGATGAAGGAAACCCCATGGGGGTGCTCTGAGAGGGAAGAACATGCCCTGGGTCACCCTCACCTGGAAGGGGCCTCTCAGGAAGGCACTACATCTATCGCTGTGAAGTTCTGTCTGCCAGTGAGATTAGTCTGGATCACACAGACAGTGGGAGTCAGGAAAGACCAAATTCATCAGAAATGTCTCCCCAGTGCCTGGTACAACTTCAGTCATAGCCCGGGGAGGAGCAGTTCCCCTTCCTGTGGGGCTGCTGACATGACAACCCCGTGACGAAGGACCAGCCTCACAGTTACCTCACCCTGTGCCTCTGTCTGTCCCTCCCGGCATTGCAGTCTCCTCCATCTGCACAGCTGGGGCCAGAGGGAGGAGACAACATGACCCTCACCCTCATGACCCTGCTCTGCGTTGGTGAGATTTGATGAGAGGGAGGGGAAGCCCTAGTCTGGGAGGGACTCCGCCCCACAGCCAGGCCCTGGTCTGTCAGGAGACCCCAGGACTCAGGAAGCTCAGGGGGAGGAGGGATTCTGCTCATGATCCAGGGACAAATCTCTCACAGAGAACTCTCTTCCAGGGCTGAGTGTGGGCCCGAGGACCCCAGTGCAGGCAGGTGAGTCTGTCCCCAGGTGTCTCAGGTCCCAGCTCCTCATTGGCGACAAGGAGCCACCACCAGGCAGCTGGGATCAGAGAACAGCAATTTTGGGCTGACAAGTGGGGGATGTCTGGATGGGTCATGGGGCTGAGAGCTGGGGAACTGGGGTGGGGAATGTCTTGTGACCCAGCCTCTGATTTCCTCCCAGGGATCCTCCCCAAACCCACAATCTGGGCTGAGCCAGGATCTGTGATCCCCCAGGGGAAGCCCGTGACCATCTTGTGTCAGGGGACCCCGGAGGCTCAGGAGTACCATCTGGATAAAGAGAGAAGCACAGAGCCTTGGAGAAGACAGAATCCACTGGAGCCTGGGGAAAAGGCTGAGTTCTCCATCCCACACATGACGCATCTATCGGCAGGGCGATATCGCTGTTACTATCTCAGCCCCACTGACTGGTCAGAGCCCAGTGACCCCCTGGAGCTGGTGGTGACAGGTGAGAGGACACTCAGGGGTCCCAGCCTCAGGCTCTGCCCTCAGGAAGGGGTCTGCTCTCAGGGGTGTCTCCCCTCTCACAGCCCAGCCCTGGGGGATATGAGGGAGGTGTGAGCCCCATTTAACATGCTGCCTCCTCCTCTCCTAGGAGTCTACAGCAAACCCACCCTCTCAGCCCTGCCGAGCCCTGTGGTGACCTCAGGAGGGAATGTGACCCTCCAGTGTGGCTCATGGCTGGGATATGACAGGTTCATTCTGACTAAGGAAGGAGAAAACCAACCCTCCTGGACCCTGGACTCACAGCTAAACCCTAACGGGCAGTCCCAGGCCCTGTTCCCTGTGGGCCCTGTGACCCCCAGCCACAAGTGGATGTTCAGATGCTATGGCTATGATAGTAAAAACCCCCAGGTGTGGTCAGGCCCCAGTGACCCCCTGGAGCTCCTGGTCCCAGGTGAGGTAGTCCCATCATAGGCTCATCCATGTTTTGAGGCACCAGACAGGGGTCTTATTCTCAGGGAGCCCCACGTGAGTGGGTAGGTTGAGGGGAGAATGGGGCTCCTGGGGAAAAGGCACAAAGCGTGAGAGACAGTAAGACTTGGGGGCAGGACTGGAGAAGGGAGGTTTATGGGAGGAATCAGCCCTTACAATTCACATGTGGTCTTTCTCCCAGGTGTGTCTAGGAAGCCCTCCCTCCTGACCCAGCAAGGCCCTGTGGTGACCTCTGGACAGAAGCTGACCCTCCAGTGTCTCTCTGATAACGTCTACGACAGATTCTCTCTGTTCAAGGAGGGGGGACGTGACCTCCCCCAGCGCCTTGGCTGGAAGCCCCAGGCTGGGCTCTCTCAGGCTGACTTTCCCCTGGGAACTGTGAGTGGGTCCCACGGGGGCCAGTACAGATGCTATGGTGGACACAACCTCTCCTCTGAGTGGTCAGCCCCCAGTGACCCCCTGGACATCCTGGTGGCAGGTGAGGAGCCAGGGGGTCAGTCAGGGACTCAGACTCTGAACAGGCCCTGCTGGCGGAGCCCCAGGTGATGATGCCAGAATGAGAGGTGGGGGTATCCAGGGAGGGAGAGAGATAAAGAGAGGCAGGGGAGAGGATCGGAGGGGGAGAGACTCAGAGAAAACAAGACAGAGAGAGGGGAGGGTCCTCAGAGAGAGGCCTGGGGACTCTCAGTTCAGAACAAGGTGGGTGGGCAGCCCCTCACCCACCCCTCCTCTTTTTAGGACTGTTGTCTGACACACCCTCCCTCTCGGTGCAGCCGGGCCCCACGGTGGCCTCAGGAGAGAACGTGACCCTGCTGTGTCAGTCACGGAGCCCGGGGGACACCTTCCTTCTGTTCAAGGAGGGGTCAGCCAATACCCCATTGCGTCTTAGATCAAAGTACCGAGCTCAGCAGTACCAGGCCCAATTCTCCATGAGTCCTGCGACCTCAGCCCACAGGGGGACCTACAGGTGCTACAGCTCACTCAACACCTACCCCTACCTGTTGTCACACCCCAGTGACCCCCTACAGCTCGTGGTCTCAGGTGAGGGCCCCTGACCCTGTCCTGTCTGAGTCAGTCAGCTCAGAGCTCTGTCCCCCAGAGAGCTCTGGGCCGGGATGGGAGTGACGGGCCCCAAGGGAGGGTCACCCAGAGAGGGATCTGCCCCTCAGAGTGCAGGAGGGAAACAGGGTCCTCCCATGCCTGCCCCTTCCCACGGCCCCATATCCAGAATCCTCCAGGTGGGTGGAGGGAGAGGCTTAGAGACCACGGGACGGATGAAGGAGAAGAGAGTGAGCAGAGACGGGGTCTCTGGGAGGACCTCCAGCCCCTCATCTCCTCTTGTCCTTTCTCCCAGGATCCTCTGGGGACCCCAGCTCCCCACCCACAAGGCTCGACTTAACAGCTGGTGAGTCACAGGGGCCTCTGTCCAGAGAATTCACAGTTTCCCCAGGCCTGTCTCTCGAGACTCAGCTGATCTGACTCCCAGTTCCTCTCTCAGCACAGCTTGTCCCCCAGGGGGGCTGGGAGTTGGACAGAGATGGGGGTCCACGGGGCTCCAGGGCTCTGAGGCTGGATGGATGGATGGTGGGGCGGTCATGGCAGAGGGAGATGTTGGGGCCCAGCCTGGGGGAGGGGCAGCCGGGATGAAGTGGGGAGAAGCAGCCCCCCCACCTCCATCCTGATCCCCAGGAGGCATTGAGGGTCAACTCCCTCCTATGGGAGGGAGTCAGGTGTGTGGAGGGATAAATGAGGGTCTCTGTGGGGAGGTGGTGGGTGAGTCCATGGGGGGCGAGGGCTGAGTTATGCCATCAGGAGACCCTGACTTCGACATGCCTTTCGCTGTCTGGGCCTCAGTTTCTCCAAGTGTAAAGGAGAGAATCGTGGCCCAGAGCTTAGATTTCCTTTCAGTTCTGACTATGGCTCTGACCTCCTGGGAGAGGAGGCCTCACAGGGAAGCCCCCAGGATGTTATTTTATGGAGGCCCATCCCCTCTGCAGCAGTGACGGAGACATTGTACAGGGGAACTGGGGCAGGACAAGAGTCCGGGGTATTCAGACCATTTCCCTTCAGCTCAGCTGGAGTGGAAAGAGCACAAAAGGCAGTCAGTTCCTCGGGTTTATTTCCTAGCTGAGCTGCTTCCAGGCTGGGCAACCTGGGGCATGTGACTTACCTCTCCGTACCTCACGTTGCCTATCTGTGAAATGGGTGGGCGTGGCAGTCCCATGTTGCACGATTGTTGTGAGTTATTGGAGATGAATGCACAGGTCCCAGCACAAGCCTGGCACACAGTAGGATCTCAATTAAATGACATTAGTGGTTCATTCATGATGTCACTCGTGCTCAAGGTCTCAACTGGTACTTGAAGGCTCTGATCGGGGTCTCAGTGGCCTTCATCCTGCTGCTCTCCCTCCTCCTCCTCCTCCTCCTCTGTCGACACCGGTGTCAGGGCAAACACAGGACCTCAGGTGAGTAGGGAGCAGGGTGACCTGGGTCACAGGAGGAGGTGGGCTAGGGCACCAGCCAGAGGGAAACCAAATAGATGGGAAGGTCAGCCTAGAAAGAGACTTTTCCAGAATCTCAAATCAGAAAATCCAAAGAAAATGCTTAATGTCAGCACACACATACACATTTAAGGTATTTTTTATCTTTTGGATCTTATGAAATATTGAAGCATACACACAAGTGTGTGTTAAGGTTTCCTTCTTTCCTCTCCAATCCCATGTGAAGGGTGGGTGGTCATAACCTCCCAGGGCTGAGACTCTGTCCATCGTGACCCAGTCCAGTGACAGTCTGATCTCCAACTTCCTGCAGGGGCTGCAGACCCAGAGCCCAAGGACAGAGGCCGGCAGATCAGGTAATTCCTGCCCAGGAGACCCCAGACCCCCACCCCGCCCTCAGTCCCTCTCTGCCCCTAACACTCTCATCTCCTCCCCCAGCTCCAGCCCAGCTGCTGATGCCCAGGAAGAGACCCTCTGTGAGAGGAGAGGAGGGGCTGCCCTGGGGGTGGGCACAGGGATTTCAGGAGGCCATGGGAGGCTGGGCTGGGAGGGTCTGGGGATTCAGGGTGAGAGGGACTCAATTACCACCCTCAGTGACCTCGGGCACTCACCCCTGGACCTCAGTGGACCATCTGGGAGCAGAGGGGGCCTGCAGCCCTGAGAGATCTCAGGGAATCCTGCCAAGAGACACACCCCCTGTTCTGCCCCAGCAGATGCTGCCGTGAAGGACACACGGCCTGAGGAGGGCATGGAGCTGGACCATCAGGTGAGACCCCTGCTCCTATCCAGGCCACCAGGGACCTACCTGTTGCCAAACTTAATCTAATGGACACTTCCTGTCCTCACATCACCCAGCTCTCAGCAGCGTCCCACATTGACCTCTCCTCTCGGGCACCCTGGGTCGTCCTGCTGTGACTTCACTCCTCCTGGTTTCTGTGACCTCATGGCCCCTCCTACATGGCCCCCTTTCCTGGTTCCTCATCCTCTGTCTGATCTTCTGGTTGTTGGGGTGCACCCCCAGGTCTCAAGAGGATGCATGAATGAGTGAATCACCCACACGTCCCCTAGGTTCCCTTCATTCATTCCCCCAACAGTGTGCACAGGGAGTTCACTGTGTACCCGGCTCCATTCAGGTGCTGCAGGTGCAGCAGTCAGAAAACTGTCTCCACACTCCTTGAGCTCCCCTCGTGAGTGAGAGGCAACATACAAATACACGGGGTCCTAGAGTGCAAAGTGCTGTTAAGGAAAATAAAGTAAGGAAAGGGGTAGAGTGCATGGGGGGGCAGAAAAAACAGCAGATACAAAGGTCCTGAGGTAGCAACATGCTTTTTCAGGAAGATGGGCCTTGTGGGTGGAGACAAATGACTGAGAGAATGTTAGGATAAGAATCAGAAACACAGAAAGCATCCAGATGTCCAAGGCTCAGGACGTCCCTGAAGATTCCATCAGGAAGTGACCTCACTTTGTAACAGTGTGGACAGTTGACTGGAGGAGGTCAGCACTGGGGTCAGGGAGACACTGTTTCTGTCCCTTTGTCCACCCCCAGCAGGGCCCCCATGATGAAGACCCCCAGGGAGTGAGAGATGTCCAAGTGAGCTCCTCAAGATCAAGACTCAGGCAGGGAGTGACCACCTCTCCTTCCGCACTGTCAGAGGAATCGCTGGACACAAAGGACAGACAAGCAGAAGACAGACAGATGGACAGACAGGTGGGTCCCATCCTCTCCAGACCCCAGGCTTCCCCCTCTCCACCCAAATACCTATCCTCCACTCTGCCTCTGCTCCAGGCTGCTGCATCTGAAGACCCCCAGGAAGTGACCTACGCACAGCTGAACCACTTGACCCTCAGGCGGGACACAACACCCCCTTCCTCCCAGTCAGAGGAGCCCCCAGCAGAGCCCAGTGTGTACGCTGCTCTGGCCATCCGCTAGCCCAGAAAGGACCCCAACCCCACCCTCCAGGGAAGGAGACTGCAGGGACCCCAGAAGGCACAGGTGCTGCCCCCAGTGGACACCTCCTCATGAGCCCCAGCCAGCCTGGACGCCTAACATGGACCAACAGGAGCTCTTGGGACAATTTGGGAGTCACCTGATTCTGCTGTCAAAGATAATGGATATCCCCACATTACGGAAATAAAGTAACAGACTTTTCAATAATCTATGAGTGAAATGAGAAATCCAAAACAGAAGTGAAAGCATGTTTTAAATTGAATGTTGATGTAAATATTACACATCAAACCTACAAAATGGGAAAATTAAGGACCTTGAATGAATATATTAGAAAAAGAAAGCCTTAAAAAGTGAATGACCTAAGCTCTCATACCAAGAATTTACAAAAAGCATAGCAAATTATTCCAAATGAAGGTAGAAGGAAGGAAATAATAATGACGAGAGTAGCTACTAATGAGGTCAAATAAAAAATAGAGAAAAGTCAATAAAGCCAACAAAATTCATTCTTGAAAACATTAATCACACTAATACATCCCAACCACAACACTCAAGGAAAAAAGAGAGAAGGCACACATTACATTATCAGGACAGTATTACATATCCTACAGACTCGAAATAGATAACAGATACTTATGATCAATTTCATGCCAATATATTAGAAAATGTAGATGAAATGGACAAAATCCTCAAAAATACAATTTTCCAAAATGATGGACTTAAAAATAAATAGAAAATCTGAATTATCTTATATATTAAATATGTTGAATCTGTAATTAAAATTTTCCCAAAAAGTGAACTTTGAGTCTGGAAAGCTTCACTGGTGAATGCTTCTGAACACATATGCACTTATGAAATACACACATACACATAATAAACTTACATAAGAGTCTCCTGAGAATACAGAAGGTGGAATATTCCTCCCAACACATTTTATCAGGCCACAGAAATCTGATACCAAAACCTGACAAGGAAACTACAAAATGGGAAAATCACAGAAACCTCTCTCACAGGATCTTAGCTGTAGA